CATCGGGAGCGTCGATTTCTCTCCAAATCTTCATGTCGTCCGCAAACAAGGCACACGGCGACCGGAGAAGCTGCGGTAGATCATTGATGTGGATCAGGAACAGAGTGGGCCCCAGCACAGTGCCTTGAGGCACGCCACTTGTAGAGGGGTACCAGTCAGTTAGATGGTCGTCGACCTGTACTCTCCACTTTCGTCCAACAAGAAAGTCGCTGATCCACCGGTGCTGAGTTTTTGAAGGAGAACCTCATGGCTGACCTTGTCGAACGCTTTACTGAAATCGATGAATATCACGTCGACGGACTTCCCCTTGTTTGCTGCCTTCAAACACTCATGCCTCGTCACAAGCAGGTTCGTAATGCATGAGCGACCTTGCATAAAACCGTGCTGTGCGGGCGTCAGGACCTCGTTTGACTGTAGCAACTGCAGCAATCTCTTCTTCACGATTTTCTCAGCAACCTTTGCCAAAATAGGTGTCAGACAAATTGGCCTGTAATTGTCTACTTTGCTAAGGTCGCCGCCTTTCGGAATAGGCTTCACCACCGCACATTTCCAGTCAACCGGCAACGAACCTTCGGACAGCGACCTGTTGAAAAGTTCAGTCACGACAGGAGAGAGGATGGTCGAAAGTGACTTGAGAACCAGTGGGTGAAACCCATCAGGTCCGGCAGGTTTGGTGCCGTCAAGGTTGGCGAGTAGTTGAGCTACCTCTTCAACGCCGCATTGCACTATCGAGTTCGGTAAAAGCGGTACACGTCGAACTCGGAACAGACACCTGGTTATTCGCAAATACAGAAGCGAAGTGCGCCGCCAACGCGGACGCACGCTCAGTGCTGGAGGTTAGGGGCTGTCCATCCGTGCCATCCAGCACTGGCACATCACCTGCCGGCTTCAGGCGTCGTTTCACGTATGCAAAGATTCTCTTTGGGGCGGTCTTCGCGGCTAATGCGAGCTGCACTTCAAAGTGTCGGCGTTTGTTCTTTTTCGCACTGTTGCAGAGGTTCCGCTGACATTTATACCCTTCGTAATCATTGGCAGAGCCAGAGAGAAGGAATTTGTCCCACAGTCTGCGACGCCTCCGAGCCAGGTTTCCATACTCCTTATCAAACCAATGAGGCTTAATGGGTCCAACCTTTCGACATTTCAATGGCACAAATTGGGAACACAATGATGTCAATCTCTCTTTTATAAATATCCAACAATCTTCCACAGATGCAGCTTGTGACAGAGACCAATTCAATTGGCTCGCGGCTCGAGCTAGACCATCGAAGTCCGTTTTCCAGTAGTTGGGAGCTGGTTGCAGCGGATGTGAATACGGCAAAGATAATTCCATATCAGCTATCAGTACTGAGTGGTCGCTCGTAGCCAGGGGCTCCAGGATCCTAACGTCACGCACTCGTTGTTCGTAGCTCGTTAACATCAGGTCGAGACAGGACGAGGTTGAACGTGTTGATATGCGTGTTGGCTGGCATATGTGTTGCGATGCACCAGTTTCAAGTACCAAATCCACGAACTTTGCTTCAACCTCACTATGTCCAGGCATCAAATGCACATCAGGCCATCGTATTCGAGGACAGTTAAAATCGCCCATAAGCAGAAAGTGTGGACGACTCATGTGGGCTTGAAGATGGGGCAGCCAATCCAAACAACGATTCAGGGGACTTCGATAAACTGCGCCCACAAGCAGTTCTCCGCGCCTGAGGCGGATGGAGCACCACAGTAGCTCACACAGGCCATCGTCACTTCGGTAGGTGCTCACAAGTCTCTCACGCAGGGAGGACCGGATGTAAAAGTAAGACACCACCGTGGGCATTCTTTAGTCTATCGCATCGGAAACACGAGTAACCGCTGGGTTTAAGTTCTTGGGTGTATAACTCTGTATGCAGCCATGTCTCTGCGAGTCCCACTACGTCTGGCCGCTCAGACGCAACGAAATAACAAAGCTCATCGCGCTTATTCATAATACTGCAAACGTTTGTGAAGGCTACTCGCAGGCCGCAGCAGGAGCCGCCGGGCGTGCTTGAAATGTGAGCAGCCTGTTTATCCTGATTCGCGGATTGTTGGAAACCACCTGAAAATTTACGATACGAAGATTTGTTTCTCCCTCACCAGTGCGTCTTTTCAACTCAATGATGGCAGACTTGAGCCGCTCCCTGTCTACTGGGTCCAGGTCGGGACGAACATGGATCTTCAAACCTTTCAGCCTACTTAGACGAGACATGATCAGTCTTGGACTGGCTTCGTCCACAAAAGTGATTCTCATAGGCCGATTTTGTTGATCACCTTGCTTTCCAAGACGGGTAATCTGTCTCACTTTTACCGAGTCCTCACCAGCGTCGAGGAGTCTATCAATTAAACCCTGTAGAAACTCGACATCGTGATCGTAGCGCACTTGAGGTGATGGATCACTGGACTCCGGTGCGTGAAAGATCACGAGATTATAACGCCTCTGGTCGGACGAGGTTGGCCTTGCAGGGCGAAGTATACTACCAGCCTCACGTGGTTTGGCTAACTGTTGACTTACAGAACGTAAACACCTAACGTTCCTTCGTAATTTCGTCCTCTGTTCTTTCCACTGGTCTTCAGCACTCAGGCTTTCACCTGCTGGGACATCAGTGTCCGTTGGACACAACAAAGGTAAACAATTTATACAAGGTGCAACTGGGCTTCTCACAACGGTTGGACTTGGTGTCGGTGAGTTTGCACGGGTAGAGGAGGACGACTGAGTCGAAACCTGAAGGCTCTTCGCGCTAGGTTGTTGGGCCAAACATACGGAGCTGTTCGCAACGAAACGCTGAGGCCTACACGTCGGCTTTACTCTTTCTGGCTGTATCTTATTTCGGCAATTTTCACATACAGTTTGGATGAAATCGTGTTGGATCTCGCGAAGACGATGAAAATGCTCAACTGATAATCCAACACATGAAATGTGGTATTTAACTTGGCACAAAACACACGTGAGGGCATTTGCACGGTATCCGACTAGTTTGGAGCAAGTACCACAGGATGACTGCTCAGTCAAAACACCTCGCTAAGAGGTCACCAGTTTAAGTTAGTCACGCAGTACAGCCGCCTGGGATGTTGGCGAAACTATTTCTCCCTTCGAGTGACACAGCCTTGGAACGCCCTCTCGGAACATGTAATTAATGCTCCCACCCTATCCCTTAAAAAACGCCTTGACGATACCCTGTCACATTTACCCTACGTGCTATAGCTCATGACCACCAGCTGCTGGCACTAATGCACAACAGACAGCGGATAGTGCCATAACCCTACCACAGAATGGGTCACCCCAAACGCCTTGCACGAAATTCGATAAACGCTACTATTATAGAAACTGGATTTCTGTATCCTGTCGGCCCAAGACAGTTGCACACGAGTAAGCGTTGTCCTTGCTATCTTTTTTTATTTTTCTCGCCTATGATGTGAACAATAACCACTCCCCTGTTGCTTTATGTGCGTACATTCTCATTTCAAACTCCCTTTATACGACAGTGCAGTCACATCTATAATCGCCCGAACTGACGACTCCATTATCCCTTTGCTATCATTATTTTGTCACACCCTACGGGACATGTCAAGCACCTGCTTTTTTACCCGTTATAAATCATTGTTCATTGTTCACGTTGATAGTGAGGATGTAGTGGAACTCGACGGATTTAACTCCTTTCGCGTTGACCGTCATTGTGTAGTGGCGCGGAAGACAGCGATCACGCAGGAGATTGAAAAGCCACTAGAACGACAAAGGAATGAAACGGGCGCAGACATGAAGGACGAGATCGGACAGCGCAACCCCAGCCCAAACAATATGAGCAGAGAGCAAAACGCGGTCAACGAACGGGAACATGTCTGAGCCAAAGAGTACAGAAAAGGGATGTGTCGATAGGCCAATAAATCAGACAGAAACACCTTTGTCGGTACATCCTGGAGTAACCCCAAGCTGACTAACGCAACCGTGATCAAGCAAATCAAGAGCTTTAGAAAAACTCCAGGAATGCGAGCTACGAAAGTCAGACAGGCACCCAAGGCCACGAAATATTCAGGCCGACGAGGCACGAATGCGACATGCTGTTATTCCCATACATGTTGCGCTGTGGAACGGAAACATGGTCGAGAAATGCGCGCGTGTGCGCAGCTCGTGGAAACCGTGATCGCCTGCAATAAAAATTGTGCTTTCTTGCCGCTTCGTTCTTGCTACAATTGTAGGCAGTGGAACCGCGGTGGTGGCGTTATGATTTACACTAATTTTTCATGGCGCAAGTTTATTAAAGCCAACACTGGCAACACCCAAATATATCCATTCAGGATACGGTTCTCGAGATCGGAATGACCGAAGTTTACCTCAAAGTGAGCCGAGGTCTCAATAGAGGTTGCGAGTCGCAACCCAACCACACAGCGTGCTTCCAAATTCAACTTGATTAAAGCCACTTTTCAAGACAGCACGTAACGCATCAGTTGCTTAATCGTGAAGTGGTGGTGGTGATATGTCCCAGTTGGCTTGCAAAGTATGCAGGCCAGGCGAGAGGAAACAACACTGTTCTCCAAGACGCAATGTGAAACGTGCATACATGCGCAATGGACATCCCATGAAATATAAAGTGAAGTCCAGGGAGCTTACGTGTAAAGGAAACCGCTGCATGGTGCGGATTGGACGGAGTGACGATGCATCGTGCAACCTAACGTAAAGCGTTCAGGTAAGAAGGGTAAGTTGAACACCGTCGGGGGGTTAATGTCGAGAATTATCAGCTGGATAGGTGCCTCTAGGATACCCTAGATATTCGAACTATAAGCTTTAACCACGTTCTGAACCATGGAGGCGCCTGAAACAAAAGAAATGCACGCAAAGGCAGCTTATAAATTTTAAAAGATTGGTGCACGAGGAAACATATGAGAAACGTAAGTCACTGTACATAGAAGAAGCATATCCCAAAGGGGAGAAATATAGATTGTATGTAGATGGAAGAGCACCCAACACGTAGAGAGCCCGGATGAACGGAAGACAGCTACCAATGATCCTCAGATTGCGGAGATGGTACACCCGTAGTCCCTTCCACGGGATCTGTTTCCTGCGAAGCCCGTTTAACAACGTAGATTGTGTCACCAACGCAGGTCATGATATACATGCATGTTCGATAGTAGACTGAAACGCAGTGCAACAACAACAATAATATGTTATGGTAGAATGACGGAGAAATGAAGCAACCAATAGATGAAGTCACTGTTGGTGAGAAAGTATGGTGAGTTGAACAAGAAATCTATGATCAAAAGAACGAAAATAGCTGCGTCTTCTTTGGTGCCACAAACCAAAGTACATCAACTGCGGCGTAGAGTAAAACATAACCATCGACGTCTAGAACAGCGCAGTTAGTCACAGATCATCATTCTTCGTCCTAAATTTCAACTAGAGGCGAGAAACGCCGCAGTGCAACCCAAGGAGATAGTACTGAAGAAAAATAAAACAAGTAGTGACAAACAAAAAGAGTAGTGGTAGGGGGAATTGAATGTTATAGGCAGAAATTCATCACATTCATCATTGTTCAATTCCCCATACAACACCTTTGCGATAAGTAAGTAGACCAAACTGCATATAATGCAATAAGCTAATTGGTGGCCTAAGTTTGGTAAGTTTATGGCTAGGTGAGGGGGCTACTCTTTCCTCTGCCCGACAGCAGAGTGGAAACCAGTGGGTAGTGAGCGACGCTACACCACATCCAGTAACCCTCACAACGATCGTTGCCGTCCCCCGTAGCTCAGTGGCTTTAACCACAGACTGGCGGCGATCGAATTGCGAGTTTGAGTCCCGCAGGGGTCAGATGGAATGCACACCAGTGACCTAAAGGACGAAAAGGCTGTACAGTGATTTTCCAGGCATGTGATGGCTGTCTGATTGAGCCTAGAAGTGATGATTTCCTACACATAGTGATATATCTAGTATTAACTAGGCGTCGGGAATGAGCTTATGGTTTTAGATTCTAAGTGGGGTGGGAGGGACAAAGAAATCCACAGCATAAACAGCGCTGAGGACGGCTTGTGAACAGGTCAACAAGTGTGACCAATCAAATGTGTCATCGTCGTTCGGGCCCCAACCGGGAAACCATGAGATACTAACCGAAGTCAAATTCGAAGTTGAGGCCTTCATTCCTCTTGACTAGGTCATCAATGCATCGTCTCATCTCCTTCCATCTATTTCCATCCCGGTGGTGGAAAGAACGCACGTCGCAGAGGGTTGTGTACTGGCAAGAGTAACAGAACGTCCAGCCAAAGGAGGTTGGTGGGTAAAATAACGATGTTTGGAAGCTCACTTGCACTAAAAGTACGACGATGAACACACCCATTGCTCACGTAGTGCAGTTCTCAGATATGAGCAAAACTGTGAGGACGCGGTGGCCAAAAGCAAGTAATCTCTTGACGTTTGTTAAATCTGATCACCCACATATAGACCGTATGGACTACGATACGCCTACCGGTACACAGTTTGTACACCGTTTAACTCGGCAACAGAGAAGTGACAAATACGGGCGAAATCCAAATGGTTTACAGGAAGAACAGCAAAAGGTCGGCCAGTGTATCTTTAAATTCGGTCCCCACCTGGAGCTACAACTAGCCACAGTCGAAAATGCGCGCATCGGTTATCATCACCATCGGTTATTTTCCTTTGCATCATCCTCTTCTTGATAGTTGGATATATAGAATGGGTAATGGAAGTGGTTCAATGCGACAGCACATAATAGTCGTGAGAACGCCCACGGGCTGAGGCAGCGCGGGCCATGAGGACACAAAATAACTGAATAATTCGCTCGTGTGGAAAATGTGCTTTCTAATGGCCTGTCAGACCTTCAGTGGGTAGCATAAAACACAGAAGGTGGTAAAACGGTAATCCATCCTTTGAGTCTGTCACTATCACAGAGTGGGTAGTTCAACTCCTACTACGAACAGTGCCCATGAATCAAAAATCATGATGGTGGGATCACAGGAGTAGTTACTTCAGCAACAAGCACAGCACGTGCCGCCAAGCTTGCATTACTCGCGAAAAATCTTCAGGCATGGGATATTAAGAGAACAACCCATCTAAGCAAAGCCAGGCTAAACACATGAGTAGGGGATGTTTAATGTGAATAATTGGGGTTTTCTCGCAGCAGCTTTAAATCAGGGCAGCGCCTTTCATATTGGCCGTTGCTTTTCTCATTGATAAATCCTTTTTACTCTAGCCACTGCGGAGCTATAGAATGCACAAAACACTTATGTCAATCTGTGTACCTGCATTGTGTTTGACCTCGATATTGTCCTATTCTGACAACACGTTGAAATCTCTCCGAGATATTGCTCCATACCCGCAGATTATTAAATATGGTCACAAAGTGCGAAACACTTTTAAACGGGTTATGCGGAAGCATTCTTGTAAATTGAGCAAACACCGTGCTGGCCGGCAAGTAAACCTTAAACGTAGCTCAGTTGATAAGACACAAATTCCACCAATCTTGTCCAGTAATATAAGATCGCTCCTTGGAAAGTGGCGGATCTTACCACTTTTATACAGCAGACTTAACATTCGTATGCAGCCATTATGATGCTTCAAAAAATTTGGTTACACACTGATATAGAAGACAATGTTATTCACCTTTCTAGTTATATTCTTAAGAGATCCGACAACCCGGAATGCCTCAAAATTGTGGAGGGGATGTCAGTACCTATGTCCAACAACGCGGGTGTACCTCGTCATCTATGTTTTTTACCTACTCAACAGTTGCAATCGGCTGCCATTTGATTGAATGTAAGTGAAAGTTGTTGAGTGGCTTCATTGCTGTTATTATTAAGAATGTATACATATTGCCCATTCTGTAGCCGTCCTATGGAAGACATAGAGAAGGGCAAATCCGGAACCGGATGTCATCAACCATACATACGCTCTGACACAAAAGTATCAGTATTGAAAATTTTTGGTTATGATCTAACCCCGTCGTTACTACCTAAAGTGGACTACTCAGTCTATCATCGTTGACTTCAATGAAATTGATACCTCATTCATCCAGGCACTTGATTTAAATAAGATGGTGTCCTTTTCGACCAGACTTTACGCGTACCTAGAGTTCGTCTCCACAAATCATGCCTGGCTGTTTTCGGCACAGAAACATGCCCCACTCGGTAACTCAGATCATTGCATCATAAACGTGAGCCCGTTAGTTATGGTAAAACTCACTTCGGTTCATTGGCTAGTAAGCTCTTCTTCATCATTCATCATTATACACACTAGCTGCAAGTGGAAAACACCTCAGCTGTGGTGCCGCAATACAAAAGAAAAGAAAAAAGGTAACAGAAGCATGCGGGCTGAGTCACCAATAACGGATGGACATCGTTCCGACGAGCTAACAGCGAGATATTGTGCCGCAAAGTCATATTATGCCCACCAATTGAGATCGTAATTAGAGGGGGAGGCTAAGCGGGAGGGGGATGGACAAAGGAACTTACAACACAAATGCCATTGAGGTCTGCTCCTAGCAATGTCAACAAGTGTGTCCAACCAAAGGTGTTCATCGTCCTTCGGTTCCCAACCAGGGAGACGAGAGGCTCCAACCGAGGCCAACTTCGAAGTAAGGGCCCTCGTTCCTCTGGACCAGGTCATCGCTTGGCCACCTCTTCTCTTCTTCCAGCCGCACCAGGCTCCGATGGCTGTGCCACGTGTTGCGCATGCCAGACCATCCACTTCCACGACGTGCGTTGTTTGCTCACCGGGGATGTGGATGGAAGAAGAGGAGGGGTGGCCAAGCGATGACTTGATCAGGAGGAATGAAGGCCCTCACTTCGGTACTGGCCTCGGTTGAAGTGTCAGGGCTCCCTGTTTGGGGTCCAAAAGACGGTGAACACGTTTGGCTGGATACACTTGCTGACATGGTAAGGAGCCGACCGCAGTGGCGTTCCTGCTGTGAGTTTCTTTGTCCCACCCCATTCCTTTTAGCCTCCTCCTCCACCTACGATCTCATTTTTTAGCGTAAAACACAATAATTTTTTTATTTTTGCCTAATAGCCGGCTGGTAGCTTACCGGAACGATGCCTATCGGTTGCTGGTAGCTCAGCTGGCATGCAACTTTTATATTTATTTTCCTTTTTCATTTATGTATTGCGGCACAGTAGCTAAGGTGTTTCCCACCTCTAGCTGACGTGTATAATGATGATGATGATCCGCAACAGCGGCGCGCATACAACGCACGTCGCGGGAACCGGTGGACTGGCATGCGCAACATATGGTCCAGCCATCGGAGCCTGGTGCGTGAAATACCGGTGCTGAGCTATTCGCTTCTTTTTCGTGTGCCATAAACAAGGCGTCGGATACGCTCATTGCTCACACGGTATTCCCACCAGACATAAGTCAAACTGTGAAGGCACCGGTGGTCTTCAAAGCTGTGAGGCAAAGTGATTGTTCAGCATCCAATATTGCTATACTCCAGAAAATGCTGACTACCACTGATTTTACAGCTTTGAACAACGAAGATTTGTCTAATCAGTGTGATTATTTCACTGACTATCCTAACTTTTGTTTCCATCTTTGCTGCCCGGTCAAAATCAAATACTTACGAGTTGGTAGATTCTCCTCGCTATCACTCAAAAAACTTAAAAGGAAAAAAGGAGCCTAGAAATGTAAAATGACTGAATAATTTATATATCGAAGCCGTTTTATGCAACCATAACTGCCGAGACATGTGGAGACTTTTAGACCAGCTATGAGGCAAAAGCCCCAATAAACAGATTGAATCTGTGGATGTAGAGAAACCCAATTCCGAGTTCTGTGCTTTTTCACCGGAAGTACCATCCACCCCTTCATTCTCTTTGCCTTCGTTCTCTGACTCTGTGTCAAAAATCACACTCCAGCACGTCGAATTCAACCGTGAACTCATAAATCTGAATTCAAGAAAGGCTATTGGACCCGATGCTCTGTCACGAGTGGTCTTGAAAGTGTGCCAATATCCACACCATGCCCTTGACGGATCGTTTCAATCGGTACTTACAGGGTGGAATTATTCCCGACATTTGGAGGCTTGTCAGGATAAGACCCGTGCCAAAGAAGGGATGCATGAAATTCCGTTCCATCGCCTGTATATCCGTCATGCTGAAAGCCTTTGAGCGACTACTGGTGCCTTGGATCACAACAAGCACTCCGGCCGTGGATGTGTCTCAGTTTATGTACAGACTCCGACGTTCGACGTTGGTTGCTGTAGCATACCTTGTACACTCTACAATAGATGTGAAATGCAAGAATGTGTGGCTCCTCTTCTTTGATTACACCAACGCTTTTGGAAGTGTCGACAGACCAGTCTTGCATAATCAGCTGTTTGCGAGTGGTGTTCAACCAGCAGTGTGCAACTACTTAGTAAACCGATCACATTTTACCGAACTAAATGGTTTAAAAAATCCATCACTCTTAAAAATGACTGCGGCGTCTTACAAAAATCAATCCTCTCTATGCTCTTCCATGTTATACATAGAAATGCTTCCACATTCCCCCAACTTCGTTGGATGTAAGTACGCTGATGGCGTAGTCTTAGGCACCATTGCTCCAACTGCTGAATAATCAACGGCTCTCCAAATCGCGTTGGACGAACTTCAGTGGTGGTCTTTGTCCCGATCCCTTATTCTTAACGCTTCTAAATGTCACGATGTAACTTTTTCTTTTCTCCGCACTAACAAGCGTCTGATTGAACCAGAAACCTTTCGCCCCATGGCCATAAGCGACCACAACATACCCAGGTCATCCACTGTTAGGTATCTTGGTGTATATTTTTCCTAAAATTCTCTTGATTAACACACGTTTGCGAAACATTCCTCGAGATGTGATAATTATCATTCTATGCCCTAAAGCTCAAAATACTTTCAGTACCCTGCTCCTTAATTGACAAATGCGTGATTACCCGTATTCCCCATCGGTTATATTGCTCATCCAACATCTTCCCTGGTCTTTTAAAAAGACTTCACATTGATTGTGCGCTACATTAAGTTCATTTTCAAGAGTTGTGTATCGTCCAGAGAGTCTCGGGTTGACTTCATCGTTACTAAACATTTTAGTGCATGTGGGAACTTTTGAGCAAGTGTTTTAACTTACCCGTCGCACCTCCTTCACACTGATTTATCAAAAGCCTTCTCCTACTCGTCCACCCCCTCTAAAATTAGGGTTCTATTTTCATACACAACACGTTGTTACAACTAGACCTTACCGTATTTATCCCGTCTTCTTGTGAACTCCAGAAAACTTATCAGCATCACGCGTAAACGCCTGTTTGATTGATGTGCATCCATATTGTTGTATTTTTACATGTCGATTGCAATTTCATGCTAATGTTATGCCTCAACACATCCGCAGTGCCAGTGTAAAATGCTGAAAAGGTTCCCAGCCGTTTCGTCCTATCGAAACTTGTATGTTGTGCGCACCCATCGGATCCATCAGAATCCGAACCTATGACCACTAGCTGCTTACACCACTAACAGCTTACGCCAATAAACCATGGGAGACAGGGGCGGATCCATTGGCTTTCAATTTATGACGATCCGCCCCTGTCTCACATGGTTTAGTGGCGTAAGCTGTTATTTAGTGGTGTGAGCAGGTAGGAGTCATGGTTTCAGAGCCCGATGATGCCGATGAGTGCGCACAAGTTGCAAGTCCCGATAGGCCGAAACGGCAGTCTAGTACTTTCCGATGAAGGGCTATCTGATTTGGAAACCGCTGCGAAGAGACCCCAATTAAGTAAAACAATGCTGCAACGATGATGTATGGTGCATAATTACCAGCATTAGATCCAATGAAGGTGCATGACTGGAAGGCATAGACCATATAACCATAACCATAACTCTAATAGCAGGGCAGGTATAAAAACGATAGGAGTGAAAGTGAATAAAAGAGAATATCAACCCACCTATCAATCGTCTAAACTCCGAAGTCTCGCTGTGGTTGTCCAAAACGAGAAAACGACCGATGCGATTGGCCATGGCGGCAAATCGTTCGGCGATGTCCTTGCAATTAACCAGGTCGCCGGCGGATTGTAAAATTGAACCGTCCGAACTGAGTACCAGAGTGCCCATCCAGCCTTGAATGCGATTCAGAGCGGCTAAAGTAGTGACTGGTGTGGTCGCACTCATAATGGACATGACGCTGAAAACAACGGAAAGGAGTGCAGAAGCATGTGATTTAAATGCCATTCACGTCACTGGAGTAGAATCAAGGTCCGCATGCAATTATCGGTAGCCCAGTCCCATAGTAGGCTCTGTGCTAGTACCATACTTATTAGACATGATCCGGAATCGAGCAAGTTGCCATGGTAGGTGTCATTCTGACCAAATTAATGATTGGGGAAGGGGAAAGAAATGTAAATACGTGTACAAAAATTCAAAAAGTAATAAAGTAAAATCATTAGATGAAATAGACAAATGGAACAAGCAATGAACCGAGTACAACACCCTCGGTTCCGCGACGACATAATATCGGAATGTCTTTAACCGAGAATGTGGCTGATTACGCGTGCTCCTACTCATAAAGGATGCATTGTAAGCGACAAATTAGCCCGGAGTTCGAGCAACTCGTCAAATCAAAACAAGGCCGAACGTTTACTACGGTACTATGCAAATAGATAACAAAGGTATTGTGGACCTACCTAAACAATACCCACTCAGTGCTGAAACAACAGGATCTGTACAAGGTAAACAAGGACGCAAGGAAAGTGCGACTCATCGTAGTTGCGACTGAACAGCCAGTTCACAAAACACCGAGTCCTCGAACCGAATCCCACGGCTCTGTTATTAGGTCACATGGTTCTACCAGATTGGTTCAGTGTACAGTACATAGCGGTTTACAATGCGTTCAAGTCAAAATAAGCTTTATGAACCCTAATGGGTTCATTTTCAGCATTTACACCACTATTGCGGACATCTGGATGATAATATGAATATAATATAAATACTTGGGGAGAAAAATAAAATATATGCGCAAGTGTCACTCCAACAAGCGCTCGCGCAGCATGCATATGATCTTTACTGGGTCAACAAGCAAACGTGGCAGATAAAGCAAGATAGTATTACGATAGGATGACGCGCGGAAGATAAGCTTTTGAATTTCGAACGCGCAGAAGAGAAAATGAGCGTTCCTGAGAACTCAGTATGCAGTGGATGAAAGTGGACATTTAGTACCTTATAAAAATTATTGCAGGCATCAAGATGTTCAGAAATGAGCAAATCGACTAAAGAATCTCTAGACAAGCCGCTGCGTCTAGTAATGTGCTTTATCGATAGTATAAGTAAGATGTAGTCTTTGTAATGCAGGAGAGCAGTATAACAAAAACAAGCATACGCAGGAAATTTTAGCGTAGATATCTGGAACAGACTACCTACTGAATTATGAGTATGTGAATCCAAACAATCGTTTAGAAAAATGTTGGATACCTACCTCACTGTGTTGCAAGTCAAAGAACTTATGAAACTGGACTACAGAGTGGAGTCAATGTATGAAGAAGGGGTTGAAGTATAGGTGCACGGGGACAAGTGCATGATAATATGTGTAAACTGTCGGAATAATATGTTCCTCGTTAAGTTAAAGCATTAACTCACTCCCATTGCAACATCATGTTATCTCGTTTTTCGTCAAGCAAAGTAATGTTCCTTTCTCTCTTTACATTATCCGCGCATTGCAAATTGTTATCATTACTTTTCCGGAGAAAACAACTCAACTACCTATGGCAGTTACTGATGCTCCGCGAAGTCCACTTCCACACCAATTACTCCAAAACTCGATTATCTTGGGCCACTGGATCTATCTCAAAAGCGTTCATAGGACCGTTATTTCCAAACGGCTACTCAAGCAAAGCCTACGCAAGGATCGCGAGACATGGTGGTCTCAGCGTGCCTTAGTGATGGAGACCGCTGCCCTCGCTGGCAACACTCGCAGGCTTTTCCATCTCATTCGGTCCACTAGCCTCAGGAAGCCTGGTGGCAGTGAGGTCGTTTGTGAGGTGGATGAGTCTCCGATCACCAACCAACAGAGGCGTATGGACCGCTTGGCCGAGCATCTCCACTCGCAGTTCAACTGGCCTCCACCATCCATCAGTACATGTAGTACTCCTTGTTATCTACCCTGGCTCGTCCCACTGAATCCACCCAGCGAAGCAGAAGTCTGCCTCGAGATTCGACGCTTGAAGCGCTTCAAGGCTGCCGGCTTAGACGGACTTCCTCCGGAACTATTCAAGTACGGCGGTGTGGCGATCATTAACCAGCTGAGCGCGCTGTTCGCAAAAAATTTGGCATGAAGAGAAAGTGCCTTCCTCTTGGAGCGAATCAGTTATTGTCCTGATTTTCAAGAAAGGCGCTCGCACTTCATGTGCAAATCATCGCGGGATTAGTCTTATTTCGGTCGCCTCTAAGGTATTGGCATCCATTCTGCTTCGCAGGCTATCCCCAGTACGTGAATCACACTACCGTGAAGAACAAGCTGGTTTCCGTCCTGGCCGCGGATGCGTGGATCAAATCTTCACGCTCCGCCAGCTCCTCGAACATCGCCACATTTATCACAGGCCCACTATCATTGCATTCCTAGACATACGTGCCGCTTTTGACTCTGTTGGTCGACCTGCTTTATGGCGTTGCTTACTAAAGAAAGGGGTGCCAGAGTAATATACCGCCATCTTACGACCACTTTACCTTCATACATCCGGCAGAGTGAGGGCTTATGGCAAGCTTTCCTCGCAATTCACTGTCAATAGCGGTGTGCGACAGTGCAGTCCTATGTCCCCATTCCTTTTCAACTTCGCAATGGAAAACGTTCTGCCGAGTGCTCTGGCAGATTTCCAACATTTTGGCCTAGAGCTTCTACCGGGTGAGCGCGCGACCGACTTAGATTATGCTGACGATATCGCCTTACTTGATGACGATCCTCAGAGTATGCAACTCATTCTGGATCGGTTGGCGGTTGAAGCATCAATGTATGGTATGAGCTTCGCCCCATCGAAGTGTAAAGTACTGCTCAAGGATTGGCTTTCACCTGCTCCCGTGCTCACTCTCGAAGGTGCACAACTTGAACAGGTAGATAGTTTCGTCTACCTTGGGAGCTGTGTTTCTGCTGACGGCACTAACAACAAAGAAGTTTCTCTTCGTATCACTAAAGCTCGACCAGCATTTTCAATCTGAGGCACTTGTGGCGTCGTCGCGACGTCTCATTCTCACTAAAGTGCCGCGTTTACAGTGCATCAGTTCGCTCAGTATTGTTGTATGGGTGCGAGTCCTGGCCGATTCGCCTGGAAGACATGCGTCGTCTTTCTGCCTTCGATAGCGGTAGTTTAGGGAGGATTGCTCGTGTTTGCTGGCAACATCGAGTTAATAGTAATGATGTTCGACTTCGCATCTTGGGGAATGCGAGTATTCCTTTCAACAAACTGGTTTTGTTGCGTCAGTTAAGATAGCTCGGTCACGTCCTACGCATGGCACCTGAGCGTCTATCGCGTCACGCTCTATTCGCTCGTCAAGGACCTGGCTGGAGGCGACCGCGTGGTGGTCAGCCTTCCACTTGGTGGCAGCACATGAAATCGCTGACGTCGTGTCTAGCCGCTGTTGGATCCGTACGTCTTCCAGGATGGGGACCCAAAGATGAGGAGTGCCAATGGATTAGCACTCTTGAAGACATGGCCCGCAACCGGAATCAGTGGAAGAATTGTGTACAGTATTGTATTGATTCACTACAAACATGGAAAATGACAAAAAAGAGCAAAATCGGCGTGTGAAAAACAAACTAAAAATGTTCTGTTCTACTTTTTGTCAAAATGTTCCATTCTTCCTGCGGCATATTAGCTGAAGTGTGTTGCTCACTTTCAATTAGCATGTCACGATAATTATGACGCGATGACTCTTGCTTATCCGCTGATCTCCATGGTTTTATGTTGGCTGTGTCTAGTTGACAGACTTTTGAGATTACTACTACTACTACTACTTTTCCTTATTTTTATTTTTTCTATGTATTCCATTCTTACAACCTGAAGCAGAACGTGAGACCAAGTTAGACGCGATTTGGATAGAAGGCGCGCGCCGGATATTCTTTGCATGATTGGGCTCCTGCCGCACGTGGGTAAAAAAAGAGTCCACATGATCGGCCGTTAGACAGGAACAGAGGTGATGCACCAGACGAGTTTGGCGAAACCCATGTTGATTGAGCTTCAAAATTCAGTTTACTGTGATCTGGTTCTTAACCGAGCAGGTGTGTTATCAAATTATAGCAAAGGTAGTTATCAACTGGCACCGGATACACTGGCTTCGGGGGGGAAAATTGCTCATCTAAGTCAGAGGGATAACATAATCACTGATTTAACTGCTCGAGCTGAAAAAGTCCACGTTTGTGGACATCTTGTTCAAGAGCACTGTGTGGTCGAAAATCAAAACGCCCAAACTTCGAGTGGACATGACAACAACCAGTTTATAGCCCATAAATTGTGTTGTAACCCGGCTCAGGTTATAAAAGGAGACCACGTTCCACATGGGACCATGGAGCATGTGGTGCTGTCGAAAGATGAGATTTCAACGTCGAAGGTATGGAAAAGAGAGTGAAATTACGATCTCAAGTGTAGACGACCAAAAATGTCTGAAACTGCAGACACAACAGCGGTGGCTTCGGCATCCACGATGATGAAAAGCCCATTAGAGGCTAATGGCAGGCATACGTTGGGTGGCGTCCAACAGGTTCGTAAAAAAGCGCGGAGTGGGCACACGGATAGTGTAGCGAGTAAGGTAGCTGGCCTTGATCACGCAATAATGAATAGGATGACTGACAGCCCTGTTAAAAAAGAAAGCACGTCAAGGCCGAAAAATCGAGGATCGTCGTGTGGTAGTTTAGGAGAAACCGTTTCTGATTCGCGGATTTCGGTGGTGGTAGACCCCAGGTAGCAAGTAGCGTAGTTTTGGCTACGAGTTCTAAAAAATAAAGCCATGGCGAAGATTGCAAAAATATGCCAAAAACTACGCGTATCGATATGTACCTGACTGTGTAATGCAAATGGTAGTCCCATTAGTTACCTGCGTCATACTTGGGTGAGCGACCTCTGTAGAACTTGTTAAATTGCCAACGATAATAAGGAGAACGCGCAGGTCCTTAGTGTTGCACATAGACGCATTAGACTACAGTTTGTGATAGGACTTAATACTTTAAGTGAACCTACTGTCTACAAAGAGGCACAGAGAAAAGTGAGTGAAAATAGAGGTATTGCATGCAAGCGGCTGCCGCTAGCGATAGAACGTCGTGATTGCGATCACGTGGATGTTCCATCGCACAGTAACCGGAGTGTTGAAATGTACGACCATTGCATGTTAGCAAATTTCAAAAATGCGTATTAAATAACTGTTTAATAGCTTGAATCGCAATCCACGGCATCGAACGAGTCGTGCATTGAAAAGAGCACAAATCTTGTGATGCACAGATTAGTACGGATTCGTAGGTAGATAAAGTGCAAGAAAGTGGTAGCCCTGCTCCCAAACACATGCATTGCGAGTAACGCGATTGTTTTAGATGAAAACTATAAAGCCTAACATACAGTTGCTAGTTCATTCCCGTTCAGCCCCATAAATTATAAACAACTCATCAAACTACAAACCAAATATTAGGAATAAGTTCCAACGATAGAAATAATAAGTTCTCAAAAGTGGCAACACAAGCAGCAGTATGAAACACCGGTTACCTGAACAGAAAGGAGAAAGAAACTCAGTCATGGAGCGCTTATTGTAGTCCGATTGAGGATGCCAATGGTTTCCGTGTTTATTACGTACGCAGATCGTAATAGACCTGGGCAGCTGCAATGCAAAGTGAACGCCTCGTAGGTGGCTGGATGCTCATATCACAAGTATTTGGTAAGAGGACACATTAAATGAAATGTGAAGGTAAAAAGAGAAGAGGAAGCATCAATGGCCGTCTAACCGAGGTACAACGATCCCCTTACCTTAGAGATGACTACCAGGTCACGCTCGGACTTTTATCTTATTCCCCTTGTTGACAGGCACTGTTCACAGCGACTACGGAAACCCCAGTCAGTCTGAATTTCCTGAGGTACAAAACAACAGATGAGCAAGGTGCGCTAGGCTCAGGAGATTCCGCGACGAGCAGTGTGGTCACAGGAAAGTTAATGATCGCTGCAAGGGTTACGATCCAGCTTCAGCGACCGCTGTTGAGCACTGAGGAGCGCAGTGTGCTGGGTTCGAGATCCCAAGACAAGCAGTTTGGTCACAGGAAAGTTAATGATCGCCGCAAGAGCAACGACCCAGCTACAGGGACTGCTATCGAGCACTAAGGAGCGCAGTGTGCTGGGTTCGAGAGATCCCAAGACAAGCAGTTTGATCACAGGAAAGTTAATAATCGCCTCAAGAGCAACGATCCAGCTACTGGGACTGCGGTCGAGAAGTGGTAAGGTCGCCAAATATGTAGTATGCGTCCGGTCGTGGATTCTGAGGGTTTCCGTGTCCAGTGTGTACGTAGGTCGTAATAGACCTGGACAACTGCATTGGAAAGCAAATACGTCAGGTGAGGTCAGATCAAGATTCAGGAACACAGACTTCCGCTTAACGAGCGTCCTGCTTCTTTTGCCGGTAAGCGAATCAGAGCCCCTGGCACTTCGACTTTTGATCGCGTTTCCTTGTTCTGCAAAAAGAAGTGAAATAAGAACGAGAGCAATCTTTGCATTTTCATGGACCAACAGCAAATATCACTGCACGAGATTTTGCTACTAAATTTCGATAAAATTATATTATAATTACAAAACATTACAGTACAGTACAAGTATAATAAAATTACGTTACATAAAAGAATTACATTACATAAGATCAACACCTAGCTACTTCTTTTGTAGGTTACTACAGTCTCGCAGTCCACTAACGCAGAAGGTAATTAATTGCAGCTGTGTACCATAAGGTACGTGAAAAACCTCGCCCTGATGTCCAACCTAGCCCTCTGTTGTCTGACCTTCAAACGATGTTCGCGCAAGTGATCGGAAGCAGCCAGCTCAAATAAGTTAATAGGCTTGATGCCACTGAGGCCCTTCATTATCCTAAACATTACTATCAGATCCACTGTCTACTCCGCTCTAGAGCTATTTAGGTGATCTTCAGACGAATTCCCATGTTGACCATTAATCATCCTGGTTGCGAGTTTGTAAATCTTCTCCATGCAGAAACATCGCCACGGAGATAGGGCGACCAAGCCCGAACACAGCACTTTAGATGTAGTCTAACCACTGCTTTATACAATGGCAGGAAAACTTCTGACTTGGTGTTACTCAGTGCCCTCCTGAAGCGAAACGGATCTTATCGCGCTTTGTTGACACCATATAGACATTGCACCGAAGGCCTGAAACTGCTCACCACAATTACGCTTAAACAACGTTCCTGGTTAGTGTTCTGCAAAGAGAAGTACCCAGAGGAAGTCTGAATTGCAAATCCCATTGCTTCGACCAGTCAACCATAGTGATATCTTTGATCAATGTTGATTGGTTGCGTCTGCCCATTGCAATGGGGCTGGACTTTACCGTGGTGCGACCGTTAGCGTACTTCAGAGATCAACTGAGTTTTGCTGGGTGTGTTTTTTGCAACTTCAGAGCCACTCATACCAGATTGGTCAATGGTTAGAGGCCAGACAAACTCAGTCGCCTGGTGCTCCAGGTTGGGAGTTGCAATGAGAGTGGCTCCTTATTCCTTAAAATGGACTCCAACGCTAAACCCGCTGCCTTGCGGTCAGGTTTTTGAACCAAAGGCTTTGCTTGAGAAAACTAATCGTTCTCCTGTCTAGGTCTGGGCAAGCTGACAGTATCCTACCCACGCAATACAACGAATCTCTCTTCAATTCCTAAATTATACCCATGGAAATGCAAGAACACAATTTTGCGAAGAGTACTCTTTTCGACAAATCTCCTCAGGCATTTGCGATTATAAAATGGAAAGGCAGAAAGCAAATGTCTGATGAAGCCAAAGTGGTGAGAATAGTGGAATCACAACAAACCAAAACTCAAAAGTCTTGACCAACAAAGCCCATTGTTAACACGTGACAGAGCACGTGTTAATTGATCTGTGAAATGCCAAACACATCCGACCACTGTAGACGCACGGAGCGATTAAAGTTGGTGAGCTAACTAGGGCCAAGGTAGAAGAAGCCCTAGCAGCAAAGCATTTTGTTTGCATAATTCCGGTTGAAATATTCTAATCGCAATCGCTTCGGCCGTCCGCAAGATTTGCTTTCTAAGACCTTTAGTGTACTGTGGTTGCACTACATAAAGTACTTGGAAGGCATCAGCGGTCCTAATTCGGTGTCCGCTTTCCACCAGATGTTCCAGAATGGAACTGTTGGGGCGACTGACTGGTGCTCTGGCCACCGCAGAGAATAGTCAACGGTGCCCTACCTGCTGCATCGAACAGGGTGGATAGGGCTTTGGATGCTACTGCTCAAGCCTTCCCGTCATCTTATTCCCGCTCTCACGCTTTTTCCCCCTTATAGTCCCTTTCCAACTGCACTTTTATCCCCCCTAGTTCTCAACCCCCCCAATTCTTAACCCTCCCTCTTGCTTTGGTAGGCTTTTACCTTCTAATTACAACTCACATGTGAACGCGGAACGTCATTCCTGTCAACAGGCCCATGTCTAAGCAAACGGTCAAGCTCAGTTCATCGGCTTCTATTTGGAGCCCTCGATCCTCCTTCAAACTGGCATGCCTCAATGTTCGCACATTGCTACAGATCGGTCAACAGGCAGCACTTGCCCGAACATTAGTGACCCTCTCCATCGAGATCTGCTGCTTATCGGAGACCCGCCTGCAAGACTCGAGCTAAGTGCTCACTCTGTGACGCCCTTCAGGTGACACCAGCAGCACTTTCTCATTGCACCTAACCGGTGACGACGCAGCTTCGAGCACCGGCCAAGCCGGTGTTGGTATTGTCCTGAGTCCCCGGGCTGAAGCTGCTCTGGTTGATTGGATCCCAATCAGTAGCCGGATGTGTGCGGTCCGATTGGCTGGCTCGTTCAAAGCTTCGAAGTCGAGCGGGATTAACAGGTGTCTATTCGTCATCGCTGCCTGTGCACCCACAAACTCTAGCGATGATTCGGTAAAAGACGACTTCTACCGTCAAATGAACGAGCTCCTTCGTCACAGAAGAAGCTCGGACACTGTTGTACTGGCTGGGGATCTGAACGCTTATGTTGGAAAATTGCTCATTGATGAACTGCATCTGAGCGGCCAACATGGTGTAGGCTCCTGTAATGATAATGGTGAGCGGTTACTTCATTTGTGTGAAAATGTCCGTTTATTTCTTGCGAGCACTAATTTCAGACACAGCACCCGCCGGAGGGTGACTTGGCGCCCACCAGCCTCGAACCAGCTATGGGCGCAAATCGATCACATTGCGATAAGTTACCGATGGAGAGGCTGCATCCAGAACTGTCGCTCGATTTGGAGCACATGTGTGGACACCGACCATGCACTTGTATGTGCCGACTTACGGATGCGTTTTAGCGAACGTCCACGAGGACGTTGGGCCCGTATTGACACCAGCAAACTGACGAAGTCTGCTGTTCTGCATGCCTACACTGATATGCGAGTTAAGTAAGCGCTAACTGGATACAAGTGAAGCTCACTGGTCTCAAGTTCACCAGATCTTATTAGCAGCAGGCAAATCCTCATGTGATAAGTGTAATAATGTAAAATGTGTCAGATGTACGCCGTAACGGCGTTTCGCTGTCGCGCGACCACCACCAGTCGCGCGCGGGCTGAAGTATACCGGGCTGCGTATACTGCGAGGACGCCCACCCCTACGCGGATTCGAACTGGTGACCTTATGGTTGCAAAGCAAACGTGCAGACCACTCGGCCACCGGTCTAATAGCCAAGATGTACATTGGGTCTCTTCGCAGTCTCTGGAACTTATCGATGCTCACCGGCACATTCCGGCTGGAAGCGGACACAATAAGACAGGCAAAAAACTCCAAGCAAAACTCCTTGCTAGCCTGTAGAGAGACCTTGTGGTCTCATCGTGCATCAGAGATGAAAATGGCCGCTGCCCTTGGTAACCATCGGAACTTATTCCGTTTGATACGGGAAACGGGTAGCCGGAGACTTGGTGTTAGTAAAACTATATGTGACGAGAGTACACAGGTTATCCACAACTTGTCAAAACGCTTGGAGCGTTGGGATAAGCACTTTGAAAGGCAATTTAATCGGTCGAAATTGTCAGATTTCTCACCGGTCAGTGATCGCCCTGCTCCGTGGGCTGTCCCTTTGGACCCGCCCTCTCGCTCAGAAATCGAACATGAGACCGGACTATCGAAGTTAAATAAAGCCGCGGGACCAGATGATCTTCGTCCAGTCCTCCTCAAATTCGGAGGCCCTGCTCTTGTGGATGATTTACAAGAGTTACTAGTGAAACTGTGTGAGCAGGAAACTCTCCCAACCGACTGGAGCCGCTCCGTCATAGTCCCAACTTTCAAGGGAGGCTCACAGTCGGAATGCGGCAACCATAGAGGAATCAGTCTATTCACCATCGCGTCCAAATTGCTTGCCTCTGTAATCCTTCATCGACTGACTGGCACTCGTTAAAGCCAGATTCGTGAAGAGCAAGCCGGGTTTCATCGAGGTCGTGGCTGCATTGACCACATCTTCACCTTGCGTCAGTTGGAGCATCGTCACATACATTGGCGGCACACCGTTGTCGTGTTCCTCGATATCAAAGGTGCATTCAATTCGGTGGATCGGTGTGCTCTGTGGGACTGTTTAGTCAGGAAAGGTGGGCCCGAGAAATATGTAAATATTATCCGAGCATTAT